GAACTCAACATGCGAAAGAGACTCAGAAGAATTGAAACATTGCAAATAGCAGTTAGATATTTTAACTTGAGTAGTATGAGAAATGTGATTGTATTTAAAAATAAATAAGAAAAAATTTCGCATTATACAGTCACCTATTTTTCTCTTTGCAACGCAGTTTGGACAGTTCATTCAAACCTTAAAGATGCTCTGAGGAAGAATAAAGGGAGAGGAAATATGGTAAAGATCAGTCTTGGGGGGGGGGCGATAAAGAAAGTTTCACTGAGCTGACTATTACAAAAATATTTACTTCTTACAAATCGTGCACCCAAAATGTTTATGCTATTTTACTACTACACTCATGGAACAACACTTTATGAAGTAGAATTCCTAAATCTTTAGTTTTAGCACATTGTTATCTTAATTTTTTTAAAGAATGTCAATGTCTTATTTATAACTTGATTCCGAATATATTTTTTTATATTTGTTTGGGTTATTATACATGAAACAATTCTGAAAATTACGCTATTAAACCTTTAAACTAGTGATCTTTTATAAGTATAAGTATAAAAATAATTTAATACATTATTATATTTTCAAGAAACTTCACATCAAATATTGTAATAGTTTTTTATTAAATACAAATATTGACGCAAGAAAACGAATACTATTCATATGAAGACTCAGAAATGGAATAAGGAATTTTGTTTAGATAATAGCACAACTCAGTTTCTCAATTTTATAATTTATCAAAATCATCAAAACGACAAACTTTAAGCGATAGCTTTCGATAATGATATATAAACGGAATATATCTATAGAGACCCCCACATTTTTCCTAGAGATGTTTCGTCACATTGTAGCCAATAAATTAATATATTTGCAATTATCATGAACTTGAAAAGAAAGCTTGTATTTTGTGATGAAATTTTAAGCATTACGTAGTATTGTAAAATGTAATATTAAGTAATTGATACGAAAAAATAGATGTTTTCTTGGCATAAAAGAAATTTTCTTATCTTTCAGATTCCCTGTTAATTGAATATTGTGACCATAAATTATTACTAGATACTTGTTGTTGGTATTTCTCAATAAAACACTAGGACGAAATTTAATGGGTTAAAAAAAAGTTAAATGAAATTGAAAGGTGTAACATTTAATTTGTTTATATTCTAAATCTTTGTAATCCATACAAGAGCTTGAAAGAAATAATTCTTGTTTAGTCCATATGTAACAATTTAATACAAAAAATTAAATGTGTTTCACGGAAGACTGCATTTCGGAAAACAAGAAAAGGTTTAGTTTGTTGTTTTGATTTCTATGATAAGGATGGGGTGGGTAGACCGAATAAATATGAGGGAAGATGCGGTTTTGACAGATAATTGTAGTAGTGTGTACGAGTGGCATTACTATTTATAGAATATTATAATTATATTATAGAAAATTTTGAATGTCGAATCAGTCATGCTTTCATCTGCAATTGGTACTTCTGCCATTCTGATACATACGTTATTTTTTCATCAAATAACTTTGTCTATAACACACTATTGCAAAAATATAGTAGTCCAAATAAATTATTTCCAACACGTTTGTTTCAAACAAAACAGATAATACCTTTTAACAATGCAGGTAATTGCAACATTTACTCTTCTGATAAATGGCTTCCGTAACGGGTGTGAATGCAAAAAGATAAAACTTTCCCAACAAAGTAACCAAATGGCAAACTTCGTCCCTTTTATTGTCTTTTATTGCTCTACACGACTTGGGACGGTAGGACTGAGGTAATTAATAGTTTTGCCTTGGGAAAAGAAAACCCTTTGTCCCATTTCAGGGGATTAGGAAGATCTAGATTATTGCAGTGAACTGTCTATAATGCAAAATATTATTTCGCTTTTCTGCACGAAATATGGGAGAGTTCTGAAGCAAACTTAGACGTTGCCTCCAGAGAATACAGAAGTTAGAAGAAATTGTCAATCAATGTGGCACCAAGAAAACGCCCTTTTTGCTGAGAGAGTCGCCTCAAACTAATTTTTTATGCGGCTCTTCCCGTGTGGCGCTAAATATAAAATTTTCTACACATTATGAATTGAGTTACTCAGTCAATAAATTTCCTACCCCAGACGTCATACCTCCTGGAATTGTAATATTTTTTCTGGAAACAGTTTTATTTTAAAATTTGGATCATGGTTCAATGCTATTTGTACGATAGGTATATGCAGTGAATGAATTATTAACACTGTTAAAAACGGTATAATTATTTTTTTTATTTTCATTCATAAAAAATGAATAAGTAATAATATAATTTAATTATTTCATTCATCAGTTATTAGCAATATATAAGCTAAATATTAAGGGATAAGTCTCCCAATAATAGGAGTGGGGCCAGTTTCACAATATGTTTCAAGTTAATAACAGAGCTTCATAAAAGCTCAAATGATTTCTTCTGGCGTCGGAAAATCGTCCGGGAAGCATGAACCGGAACGAAGTAATGCATAATCTGAAAAAAATACAATAGTAGTTGTCAGTAAATAAAGTTAATATTTATTGAAAAATGAGTAATAAATAGAATGTAAATTTCTAACAAACTACTATTTGTTAAACCATAAATAAAGTTTAGTAGGACGGCACTGATCCGGAGTAACTTGTTTTACGACAAATAACTGCTTCATCACCTCACCAACCTTGAAGTGGGAATTGGCTAATATGGGGAGAAGCCTCATTGACCAGTCACTTTTGTAGCAAGTGTGCGATATGTCATAGAAAATGAAATTTTTGCTAATGTAATAGATAAAAATCGACTACACTAAAAAAATAGGTAACCAGATAATATAATTTTAGAGTTCATTGGAGTTCGTTTTGTACCTCACTTGAGTGTATTTTCTAAAGCATTCTAATATTTTGTATTTCTGATATTTAAAAAAAATCCCAAAAGATTCAGTGTTTCAGAACATACTCGTATTAGTAAATGAAAGCAAGGTTCTATCTAGAGATGATTTTTTTATGTATACAACGTGTGTGTGGAGAGTGTAAATCTAGTGTAGGGAAACGCATGTATGTAATATAGTAAACGCCTGGTTCCCGATATAAAAGTGTTTTTCTTCAATACAACAGCCTGTTCGACTGAGTGCAACCCAGCGCCCAATGGTGTCTCATAGTTTTTGTAAACTTGTAAGTTCTGTTACAGATGAATATTTTAAGTAGCGGTTTTCAAATTTTGCAGTAATCCAAAAAGACATTAAAGTGCATTTTGAAAGCCGGAGAAAGTCACAAGGAAAACAAATAGGTGCAGAAGAATCGTCTCGCAAATGAGAGATTGCATTTGGAATGCAATTGGCTGCGTTAACTCAGTCCCAGGATCGTCGTTGACTAGAAGATCCTAGGGTGCGCGTGATTATCGTATCTATTCTCAACCCTAGCTTCTTAGTTGGGTAGAACTCAACTTTTGTCCATAGGGGAATTTTGTCGGGAGATGCTTGTGCCGACTGGGGCGTGAGCCCGCTGGTGGGAGAAACCTGGTTGAGAGAAATTCCGCAAGCCGACGGTAAGTCGGCGCTGGATCTCGCCATCCAGCTGAGGAAGTTCACCGCCCCCCCCGAGGAAAAGCATGTGCTACACTTACGGAACTCATAACCCACGCGTAGTTCAAACGCCCGGAATCACTAACCAACCAACCAACCAACAAAGGAGAACTCCAGGTGCTCAGATCTGTAGTCTTCTGATCAACGGCAGACAACTGCCGGAACACATCCTAACAAACGGGCCACAGATCGCGCACTATCGCTCCTTCTTTGTCCTTGTCCCCTTACACACAATTGCGTACAACCTCTTACGCACTACACAACCATATGCACTATCACTACACTCCGTGTCCAGAGACCAGTCGTACGTTTAAGCTTGTCGTCGCAGGGTTGGTGTCCTGCTGGACAGGGGTGATACATGGACAAGATAAACCTCACAATTCGAAATGTTTTTCGGAGTCGTATATACCGTTTCAGTGGAGCAACAACTCTGGCATCTTTGAGGATATTACACGCAAAAGTATGTGACTGTTTTCCTTATTGTTTATGCTCCAAGAATCAATATTCCGTCACTAACGCTTTCACCATTCACCAATCACACATTTTTATTCAAAGGAAGGCTACTGACCGGGGCGAACTTCTGCCGCGACAAACAACTTGCTCGCCACCAACCTCGAAGTAGGAATAGACTGAAATAGGGAGAATAAGACCATCTCCTGGCTAAAGAGGGTAACATTTGTTTCTCTCGGACTGTACCTTTTTATAGAGAGGTAAGAGGCGTATTCTCCAATTTAATTATTTTGCCTTCTGATGTTTCATCAGTTAAGACGCGGTGAACCAATTGAGAGTTTCAATACCAAAAAAGAAGTCGTTACAAAACTCCCAATTGGTTAACGACGTCCAGTTGATCAGACGTCACAAGTCACAACTAAATGTAAGAACATGAAATCTCGTCCGTGAGATGTGACCGACATACGTTCCTCTGCCGTTGTTCTTACCGGGGTTTCTCGGATCCACAGCAGGTGAATGCCGGAGCGGTAACCTAACAAACGGGCCACGGACCGCGCGAGATCATCTTCTTCTTTGTACCCTGAACCGTTCCTTGCACTCACACGCATACAATCGCTACACAAATGCAGGCAGATCAGTCAGGAGCTTAGAGCTCGTCCCGTCTGGGTGCCCCGCTCGTGTGAGACTCCTGGTCGCGGAGAATCCCGGAAGCCCACGTGTAGCTCGGCGCCGGATCTCACGATCCAGATCACCCCTACCTCTCTTGATAAAGGCATTCTTGACCCTTGCGGGGCTAACGACGTGAGTTGCTGCCGCGCGCGGAAACACGAAGTGAGGACTGGCCCTTACCGACGTGCGTCTTCTCCGGATTATCCATACCATCCAGATCACCCCTACCTCTCTTGATAAAGGCATGCTTGACCCTTGGGGGGGGGGGCTAACGACGTGAGTCGCTGCCGCGCGCGGAAACACGAAGTGAGGAATGGTCCTTACCGACGTGCGTCTCCTCCTTGGTCGCCCGCATGCTGCACGCGTTGGGGAAGGTGCGCAGCGAGCCGTCGGGCGCCTGCGCGCACACAGGCGCGTACTCTAGGGTGCACGCGATGGTGGCCGCCTGCGCCGCCGCCAGCACGCAAGCTGTGCGAAGCCCAACATTCCGAGCGGGAAATTTGAATTGGCATTGAAATTATTGGATTAGAAGGTTTTTTTTCGAGATAGAATACATACCATATGAAATGCTTGATGATTTTTTTTGGTTTGTGAACATTGTAATTAATAATAATATTTATGTGAAAACTTATTTTCGTAATAATGAGTTATATTATAATATTTGAAAATAGTTATGACTAGTCTGATGACTACGGCAGATAGGAGAAATATTTTAGGATTAAAATAATTTTCCCATTTTCACTCTCCTTGCTCCTCTTAAATATCTGCGCTTAAAAAGATTACCACAGAAATGCAAACATATGTATGCTTATTCCCTTTGGCTTAACGGAAAATATTGGCAGCGAAACCGCACTTCCAAATGAAAATTTTAAATGGCGTGTTCTAAAATTTACTCAGAGTTCAGCCAAGTAAGTAATAATTAATGAAAAATCATGTATATTGCAAAAAAAAACTAAATTGTCAACGTCTTTGTGGCGGTTTTTTGAATTTTTATTCGTAATCTGAAAACCAGCCTTAAACCGCACATGTCTTGATGCATTTCCGCCCATTGGGTGGTGTTCCGCGAAATCAATTTTTGCCCCGCGAGAGAGAGAGCCGTTTTTCATATGGTTCATGAGTAAAACGTTCAGAATCCTGCCGAACGTCAGAAGCTTTTGATATAAATTCTAAAGAGTAAAATTTATGTACACATGCAAAACATGCTTCGAGCCACATAACAAGATATGCAAACGAAACAGAATTGAAATGAGGATGAAAACTAATGTTGAAATGAAACCTGTAATTGATTGTCATCGCTCAATTGGTAAACGTTTTCCATTACTGTAAAGATAATTGAAATTAAAATACGTAAGCCATATTAAAGTGCATAATTTTTGTTAATATTCCTTTGTCTGTTATTGTTAACATATTTTTTATTAGAAGGTACTAAATAAAACTTCGTATAATTGAAGAATGAAATTGTAATGTTGTCATTGATAACAAAAGAATGTACTATATTTAGTAGGAATTGATAAGATTATTCCACAAACAATTTTAACATTCCACAAAGTTCACTGATTATTTCAAAACCTCTGTAATTTTTCTCTGGAATGTACGGTGTAAATTCAGAAATGAAAGGTTGTTTTTTTCACACGAAACGCCTTACCAGCAAGGAGCAACACGGTGAAGGTCTTCATGTTGTCGACGTTCATCTGCGACGCACACCAGTTGAATGCTCTTTATATTGATAACGCCAGACAGGCGCGGGGAAATGCAACAGACAGGTGTTGATCAGTCACCTGCTGTGTAAACATGAAGGAGTCACGACCTCGTCGACAGCGGCTGCCAACTGTGCTCGCAATGCACTGGTGCAGAGTTCCTCGAGAGAGTTCGGAAATGACTTGATTTGTGTAGGGAAGTTCAAATCTTTACGTTTTTAGCGTGTAATTTGTAATGAAGCTCCCGTTTGTAATCTCTGTGAGCTCTAATTTGTAAATTTACTTATCTATTTTTTTCTTTCGCGTGAAACATAAGCTGCGCCCAAATGTGACAGTTTGCTGAAGTCAAAAAATTCTAATTCATTGAATTGAGTGTAGAATTTAGATATGCAAACCGTGAGGAATCAACGTTCTATTAGATGAAATTTAGAAAATATAGTAAATTAATTGACATTCCCAAAGTACTGAAGAAGAAGAAGAAGATAAATGTCTATGATGTAATACTGTTGATTATTACATTGGATAATAATTAGTTTGTTCCTTAATATAAATAAAAAATCTTCAGTATCTGCCAATTCTTCTTCTCTTGATTCTCAATTCGGAGTTTTGGGTTCGATCCCCGGGCCAGTCATCCTGATATGAGTTTTCATGGTTTCTCTCGGTCACAATGCGAATACTTGGATGGTTCCAAAATCCCACGAACTGCTCCAACCTCCCACTACCCCACCTAAAATCTACCATCATCCTAGTCCTTTCATCCCTCATCACTCTATAATAATAATAATAATAATAATAATAATAATAATAATAATAATAATAATAATACATTAGTGATATGGAAAGTCTTTTTAGCGGATAAAACATCAGTGAATAGGAAGAAAAGGGAAAGTGTTCAGTATAGTGAAAGGTCGCGGGTTTTCTTGTTAAAAGAAACTGTTTTTAGTTGGCTTGTTCAATTTGCTGGGCATCAAATCCTCTTCCCCCGATTTATCACGAGTCGGAAGTAGAACTATAAATAGTTCGTCCTTGCCTCAACTCTGTTTTCTTGTAAGATACTGGAACGGAGTTCTCTAGATTTGTCTTCCAGATTCATTTAATACTTTGTCTGTAGTTCCGGACGCGTAATATAAATTGGCAAATTTCAACTCATTTTATTTCCACTTTCTTTAACATGTGGGGTTTGAAATGGAGTTTTACGAACTAATTTTCAGAATAGGGTCCCTTAGATGGGAAAACGTGATACCCAAATTAGAGAATTTAATCATTAGCTGGTTAAATAGTTAAATCTATTTTATAAAATCTCGTCTTTATGTAAATATTACATGAATATCTAGGTTTCACATTCGGAAATTGCATTTATGGCCCCCTATTTCAACCTTTTGCATGGGGACCTTGTACAACCCAACTACGCCCCTGATGGCCCATGGGACCCCTAAGTGACTCCTATAGAAAAAGATCATCACAAAATCGATATCATTGTGTTAAGCGGATATAAAACCTAACAGAACCCGCGTAACTTATTTAATATTTACAAATTTTATGTACAATTTTCCTTTCATTACAGCGCATACATTTTGTCGAAAAAATAAAACAACAAAATCATTGAAATAAAAACTCTTACCAAGAATTTTCGCGAAATGTTGAGATGTATTTTTCACGTGCTGCAGAGAACAATTATAATAACACAAGTTGATTCCGTAGTTGACTGTAAACAGCCTTCTTGATACTTCGTTTAGAAGCTGTCTGTTTCAAATTTAAAGTCCTTGACTCACCTTACCTGACGAGCCATCTAACTTCCCTTCATTCTGCAAAGAAAAAACTGTTTTGCTGTACCACCACTGATTCACAAAGTTGCTCTCATGCACAGTTGCATTATATTTATTAATTTAGTCTATAAATATTTATTACTGCAGATTCTATTTACAAATGGGTTTCCGGAAATATATTCTGAACTATATTTCGCCCTTGCATGCTTTAGTTTTACTATGTAGATAGCCTTTGATGGGGAAGAAAAAAGTAAATGAATACTTGGAATGTTTTTATTATTTTTTTAAAATTTTGAATCTAAATTTGTTGAACAAAATTAATGTGAATATTAACGGACTATTTCATCACCAATAACTGTAGTGTCTCTAGCCAGGAAGGCCTGGAGGGTTCGAAATCCGTGATGTTGAGTTTATTCATATGAGATATTTTCACCATACATTACATGTTCAAATGCCAATTATGAAAATAAGATTAAGTAGCACTTCCTCCTGGTGATCAGTTACCCATGTCTGCCGCAAGGTAATAGGTGGAAGAGCAAGGTACAATTTGAAGAAGATTGATCAATAAGCATTCATTGAATCAGCGGTGTTATGTTGAACGTAGAACAGTTGTCTCACTTACTACTAGAGTGCGCCGGTCTCAATGTGCCGTCTCGCTCTATGGAACCAAGCCAGAATTTGTCATGGAATAGAGTGGAATGGAATGCATTTGGGGCAGTGTGACGTCATCAGACTCCCCGGGAACTCCTAGGTTTTCGCAAAACGACAAAATTTGAAGCGATATTTGACTATCCTGGCCGTTTAGAGAGCAAGGAGGGGATATAAACGGCTGTATTTAAAGTTGTAAAATATTTCCCAAGTCGTTTAGACACGAAGGTCGGCTAGATTGACGTATCCTAAATACAGCACGGAATGCTCTGAGAGATACCTATCTCCTGTCCTCTCCTGCCCCGCTCTGCTCTCCTCTCCTCTCCTCGTTTTGCTGAATGAATCAAATAACCTTCATGATATCTTAACATGATTCTTACTTCACATGAAGTAAGATGAAGAAATAATCACATGGCTATTACTTCAAATGATGTGGAGGGCATCATTCGTATTTCATAATATGTACACTCATTATTGAATATTATGAGTGTTATATTTAATCGAAGATCGTTATATTTAATCGTCTAGACCTGATCATATATTGTCGGTAAGAGATATAACTAAGAGTTTTTACTATTGAAATTCTTCACAAAACATATTTATTACACAAGGATGCAAAATGAATTAGCAGATGGACTTTGAACTCGTAATTGTCTATGTTAAAGGAATAAAAAATTATCAAAACGTCACTCGTGAATTTATTATAGAGTAGAACCCACATAACAATAAAGGGTAGAACCCCACTAATCCGAATTTCGGATAATCTGATCAAAATTCGCGATGGAGGAAAAAAAACAAACTAAATATATTGCTTATTTGAGGGGGAAAGAAAGGATTTCATAATTACTGTGTAACTGAATAACTAATTATTGAAACACAAGTTGTCGAAATTAAACGTTTTTGCATTGGTAACTACGGTGTATATCCCTTTTTTGTTGCAGTAATTTGTATGTAAACATAGAAGAACTTGCAAAATCGGTGATCTTTTGCAGTAAGGAACGGAATATGCTTGATGATGCAATCGCTACTCTACGTTACCATTTTCTGACATCGCACGCTAAGTTACATTGTGTCTGGTAATCCTAGAGGTGTATTTGTAAATGTAATAATCCGAACATTTCCGTATTCGAAAAGATCGCCAATTACTTCGGAATAGCGAGGTTTTACTGTATTAGGATTAAAGTTATTTATTTTTATATCGTAGGATTGTCATTAAACATGAAAACTTGTTTAGTATTTCCCATAAATTTAAATATTTATTTGAATGAGTACTACGTGAAAGGAAAAACTTAGAAGTGAAAAATATTAAGCCGCCATATCAATAAATCGTTCAAAATAAATTATTGCATATTATCTTAATTATTTAAAAAATAAAAGTACGACTCTAGAACAGTTTTTAAAGGCTATTTGGCAGCAAATAAAAAGTTTGAACGGGCTTTCATGCTACCAACCTCTCCTATGACAGTGATATTATCTGAAATTTAGTCATTGTTGTTTTCACTCTTTAAATGAATGTAATTTTTATGTATCAAGTAGCATTTGATCAAACTTTTTCTTGGTGATTTATATAGCTTAAAGTTAATTTTGGTTAGTTAAAGATTTATTTAATTGTTAATAAATTTACTTTCAAATAGGCCATAACAAATTACTGAGCACAAAAGCTAATAAAACGAACGGGAAAAGGTCAGGAAATATCAGTTCCACTGAACGAGATACATTTCGACTAACCGCCAATTTCAAAATCGCAGTTCACTTTCAAAATTCATTTGTTTCAGAAGTTGGTGGTTCTGATCAGTTGCCGTGAAAGCCACCTTAGTAGTCGCCCCTACGCTTCCAAGAGATATATAGGAAAAACACTAAATAAAACTTTCTTTAAAAAATACATTTACATATGATCGCCCAAAAGGCCTTAAAAATATTGAATTTTTATTACATTACTGGAGTAGAAACTTTCCAAAGTGATTGCGAGCAAGTACATGCAATACTTTTTATTTAAATTTAATTAGATTATTGATTTTGAATTTAAAATCTGGAAACGCATGTATCTTTGAGGAGTTTTGATTTAATTGTTTTAGGGAACTTGCTTGTTGAGATATCTGAAATGCAACATTTGGACGGGATGGTAAGAGTGTATAAACTTAAAGATAAGTTAACCAGTTAATCTGCAATTTGAAGTTTTTGGTGCTGTTATTGCAGTTAACTTTCGGGTATAAATAATGGTGCCTTACTTTCAGGTATAAACCTGAGAAGTCTTCTTAGTAATTTAATACCATAAAAACCGTGAAAAATAATGTCGCTTTGTGTAATGATTATCCAAGTCATACTGGCGTATGGCGGTGCCAGTGTGATGATGCTTTTGTAAATGAGTAATTTTTGTTGTTGCTTCTTTGTACAACTGATTTGATGTGCTGTTTCCATGTCAGACCACTGTCTACTTTAATACCAAGAGATTTGCTAGGCCTTGGGCTTATTTGACTGATGAGATAAAATCTGCAATGAATGTGAATAAAAACTGAATTTTCTACATGATTCGATGCAAAAACTACGGTTTTTGGTAACAAATGGACTAACTAATCATTAGAGAAGTTCTTGAGGAAGCTACAAGTATAGTTTTAGGTAGTTTATCAGTTGTTTCTATTAAAAAATATAAAAAAACATGTTTCCTTATAATCAACACGGAAAAGTAAATTCAGAGATTTCATCACTCGTTTCGACAATACATTGGTAACAGCCCTTATTTAATTTCTTGAATATTCGAGTAGCATACGAGTAGTCTAAAATGCGAAACGATTGGAAAATGTCATGGTCAAAAAGTAGTAGGAAATCAGATTTTAAAATTTCAATCCATTTATTTATTTTATTTATCCATTAATTCATATTTATTTCAATTATTTTATTATTTAAATAAATTAGCCCTTTTTTATATTTGCGTTTAATTGAGTGTATATTATGTTTTATTGTACTTATTTGGCATGCATACATTCATATTTACCTTGTGTGTCTATTCAGCTTGAAGTAAAAGAGTACTGATCGAACTCAGCTGAATGACACATCACAGAGTATCAGCACTCCTCGGAATCGAATATATTTGAAAATGTTTGACAACATAATAGGTAGTCAACTGATGTTAAATCTGCAACAGAAAACGAATACCTTAAAATATTTCTAGAGACTGTACACCCTTTTACACCACTTGGCTAATTTCGGATCTATTTCATTTTTATTCTATTGCTATTGCCAGTCGTACTAAGAATGTAATACTTAGGGTTAATATATTTTCTCAAGGATTACAAAACATTTTGTCATCAGGATTTTCACTCCAATTTCGAAACCGAGCACACGCACGATTTTCAACGGTGTTGGAATGCAACTCCGACTACATCTAATTACCACGCACTAATTATAGCATATTGCGCCAGAAAAGTCTGTTTGACCATTCTGGTAAGAGTGCTAGCAACAGAAATTATGATCCTAGAACGACCACAAAGCAGTGCTGAGACCGCTCCATCTCGATCAGGTTTTTGTTCACTTTCCCTAATCCACTGAGCAAGTGCTGAGATGGATCCTGGTTATCTTCTGGACGTAAATGTAGCTTCACTATGCGCACATTTTGTTGAACTCGCAAGTGCAGGCGCTCTGGGCGCTGGGCGGATCGGTCGGAACGGACTTTCCTGGCGCGCTTGATCATTATTAAACAACACGTCATGCAATATTGCTGTGTTTGATTATAACTTCGGTTTTTTGAATTTTTGAACAACTGTGACGTATCTGTTTTAATATTTTTTCTCTCTAATTAAAGAAATAGATATATCTCCTAAGAAGCTTCTATATCATTTGTAGTATTGAAAGGCGTCAAATTTGAAATATTTTGCATTATTTTCATTATCAACTGATTTGTTTCAGACTGACATATTTAAGGGGACAACAATGTGACGTTGCTCTAGCTCATGTTGGTTTTTAGTTGTTGCTCGTTAATTATATATTTTTAAATATCCTCTTGAATTCTGCAATAAAAATGTACAAACACTAGTTGAATAAAGTTCAGTGCTGAAATTACAAATATAAATTGAGAATGAATATGAATTGAGTGGAGTTACAACAACTCTTTAAACGTTATTTTATGTACAATTGCTTAATTTATTGTTTTTGTTTATTTTCCCAAAATATTTCAATTAACAAAAAGTTATAACAACTCTTTAATAGCATAATGTTAAACAGTATTGTAGTTACATAGTGACTTCATATTGAATGAATTTTAATTTTTTAAGATGATAAATTAAAATATGTATATATATGTATATATATGTATATATATATATATATATATATATATATATATATATATATATATATATATATATATATATATATACGATGAAAAATAGCCTAAA